CCCCCACACTATCCAAGCTAGATGTGTGGAAATCACTAAGTAGAGTGAACACACGAAAAGCTGCTGGACCTGATGGTATCCCTGGCCTGGTACTCAGAACATGTGCCTGGCAGACAGCTGATGTCTGTACTGACATTTTCAACCTGTCCTTGGCCCAGGCTACTGTACCCAGCTGCTTCAAGATGACCACCATTGTGCCAGTACCAAAAAAAATCAGCACCCACATGCCTGAACGACTACCGCTCTATTGCACTCATCCACATCATAATGAAGTGCTTTGAAAAACTACTCCACACATTAAAGCCAGCATTCCAAAAACACTTGATCCTCTCCAGTTTGCCTATCGCACAAACCACTCCACAGAGGATGCAAGTTCTATAACTTTACACACCACACTAACCCACCTGAATAAAAGGAACACCTATACAAGAATGCTACTCATTGACTTTAGCTCAGCATTTCACACCATCATACCCATACAACTTTCTACCAAACTCAGGGCTCTAGGTTTAGATACCACCCTCTGTAGCTGGATCCTAGACTTCCTTACCAGCAGACCCCAGACTGTCAGGATTGGCAACCTCACCTCCAACACGCTCACCCTTAACACCGGTGCCCCCCAAGGCTGTGTGCTCAGCCCACTGCTTTACTCCCTGTTCACCCATGACTGTACTGCCAAGATTAGCACAAACACCATCATCAAGTATGCTGACGATACCACAGTCGTGGGCCTGATCACTGATAACAATAAAACTGCTTACAGGGAGGAGATAAAACAACTTGCAGACTGGTGCCGAACCAACAACTTACTGTATGTCTCAACATCAGCAAAACCAAAGAACTGATCATTGACTTTAGGAGACAAGGAAAAGTCCACTCCCCCATCTACATCGAAAGGTCTGCGGTGGAGATGGTGAATAACTACAAACTAGGAAAAACCGAAACCAACACAGGATTTACACACACATAAGGGGACCGACGGAACACGTACACAGTTTTAGGGTGGTAACCCGTTAACAGATGACTACACACTTACAAAGCTACACAGGACACTTAAACTAATATAACACCATTTACATAAGCAGGGTCAGCTGCTGGTGACCGTGCTGACCCTCAGACTCCCCCCAGCTACAACTCCCAGCCTGGTTCGCGTTACCCTGAGTGCCTAGGTGCTCTTCCTCCTCACCACCAGTTGGGGGCGCTACAATATTACGGCTTAGCATGCTGGTATGACGTGACTGCCATTTTTTAGGATTTTAGGAAAAATACCACACCCCATCAACCCACTATAATTGATGGTCAGCCTGTTGAAATTGTCAATGCCTATAAGTACTTGGGACTGGTCTTTGACAAAAACCTAAAATGGGATAATGTTGTGACACTATCTATTAAAAAGGCCAACAGAGACTCTTCTTTCTTAGAAAACTCAGCTACTATACGGTAGATAAAACTATTCTTTTTCCACAAATCATTAATTGAAAGTGTCTTAACATACTCCTTCACTTGTTGGTTTGGCAACTTTAAGTACCGGTAATTGTAATAGGCTGGGTAAATTAGTGAATATAAGTGGCAAAATAATCGGGAATAATCAAATCAACTTAAGCCTCCTTTACAAACAGAGGGTGACTAAGAAAGCCAAAAGCATCATAGAGTGTGTGTCTCACCCCCTCCATTGCAAATTCACACGTCTCCCATCTGGGAGATTCCTTTGTGCCCCCAGGTGTAAAACCAACAGACTCAGGAAATCTTTCATTCCCACTGCAATTACAGTCTTAAACAATGCAAAGTAACTACCTTGTCTCTTGCTTCTTATATCCTGTAACACTACTGTATTATCTTCCCTTTTGGTGATGTTTATTTGTTATTGTGTTGTGTTTGACTGTGCCATAAAACTAATTTCCCCTAGGGGATAATAAAGCTTGAATTGAATTGAAATATATGCCTGATTTGTTGGATTGATACAGAGTGTTTTGGAATGTAGTTAATAATGTCTGAATTTTCCTGTCATTTAGTATCCGTCCAGACTTTGTGTAGCCCATCTATATGCCTGGTTAAGGTCAAACAGTTTGCTGGGTTGTGTCAGTTTGTTTATGTGCTGGTGAGCTCTCTTGATGTAGAGTGCGATCTGACTTTGGTCGGAGAGTGGATTTTGTGGTCTGACAGTAAAGACACTTGTAGAGGAGTGGTCCATGTCAGTGACAACACAGTCCTGCTACCCAGGAAGTTCCCTCTGGTCCTGCTATTGACGATGTAAAAGGCCCAGTCCTTGACAGGTCTTTGACAGCTCATGCCTGGTGCTGTTCATGACTGGACCTGTGTGAAATGACTAGTGTATGCCACAGGGGTGATTGTCCAAATACAGTATATGAGTGTTTCTCTCTGTGCCGGTAAAGTCTGCCATCATTCGTGCATTGAGCTCACCGCAGGGCAGCACATTTCCCTGGCCCTGGAATTGATATATCTCCTTACGGAGACTATGCAGAATTATCTCACTGTAGTAAGGGGACTTTGTGGGTGGAATGTAGATTGCACACTGGAAAAATCTTGTTTTCTTTTGATTTTGAGCCAAACACATGACTATTCTCTCTTTACTAGTTGTATGTAGTGATCTGCTCTGAACCACACAATGTTTCCCACAGAGTTTCTGCCCCAAGAGATTTGATTGTTTTTTGACAGAGGGCACTATGATCTCCATGTAGCCTGGGGTACAGTGGGTGGATATGTCTCCCCAACATTATGTCTCCTGTAGAATCATATCATCTGTCCCCTTTATATTTTTGATAAACTTGTTTTTCAATCCAAATACTGATTTGCCCAGGCCCTGAATGTTCCACATAGTGATTGAGAGTGATAATTATGTGAATTTGAAGTTTTACAATTATTATTATTATTGTTTTCTGGAACTATATCAAATCAATGTAGGACATCATTTACAGAATTTATTATTGTTTAGAAACCAAAATTGTCCCACCTCTGAGTCCGTCAGGTGCGCTGGTCTGGCCAGAGCTGCAGTGTAGGTGTGCAGGGGGGGGCTCAGTCCAGCTCTTCTGGTGGACTGGTTGGGGCGGTTGCATGGTGGCGCTGGTTCTGGTCCATACCTGTTGCTGGTCTGGGTTGGAGGGGTGTATGGTGGTGCTGGTTTTGAGCCTTGTGGACTGGGCTGAGTGCTGGGGAGGGTCCAGGAGGGGGGTGCAGGTTTTTGGGGGTATTCCTCTGTTTGGCAATAGATTGTGTTTTTTTCTGTGGTTGCTGAGTGTCCTGCTGTTCCTATCTGGGACATTGATAGGGTGATAGCGTGATATATTTTAGAGGTTTTGTGAAGATTCTGGTTGTCTGCTTTTTTAAGGTGCCCGTAGTCATGCACGTGCTAAGGTCCCAGGGTGGGGTGATGAGCCAGGTAGACCTTTGGGTGCAGAGCACAGCACCATAAGATCTCTGAGTTGATTCTCTGGATTGCGTGGTGCTGCACATCCTGTCTTGGCAGCAGGGTGGAGATCACAATTCTGGCATGGAGGAAACGCTGTCTCCTTTTTATTTATCCTTATCTCCTCTTTTAAATCCTTCTTTTGTTGTTTGTTCCTCTTGATCTCTAGCAGTTTCTCATCAGCTCCTTTATCCTCAGTTGTTATACTGTCTTTGCGTAGGTCTTTAGTTCTTCAGTTGTTTTGTTGATTAAGTTTGGTGATGTTATTTTTTCATGATCAGATTACACTTTTTCTGTTGTTGGATTCCTCCTAAACTATTTGTTCAATTCCAAAAAACAATAAAATCTGCTTACCTCTCAATTCAATTAAATTCAAAGTGCTTTATTAATATGACCAATGGGTACAATCAGTGTTGCCAAAGCAAATAAAAATAATGAAATTCACCACTCCACAAAGTTGGTAATCAAGCTCCTATATTCCTCCTCCCTCCCCTCTCTAATACACCCCACAATTGCAGAGTCATCTGAAAACTTCTGCAGATGACATGCCTCAGAGTTGTACCTAAAGTCGGGGGTGTAAAAGGTGAACAGGAATGGAGCAAGGACAGTCCCCTGTGGAGCCCCAGTACTGTTAACAACCTGTTCGGACACACAGCTCTGTAACCATACATACTGTGTATGCTGCCAGTTCCTTCAACCGTCTCACAGTAGGATTGGGACCCATTGTGATTGTGGCAGGTGTGGGAACTCTGGGATTAGATTTCTGAATTTCTGAAGGGAAGAATGTTTTTCTAATCCCAGTGCAGACTAATCTGTCACAGTGCAGTAGGAAGTGTACCTCAGTCTCTATTTCTCCCCGCTGGCAGTGGGAGCACTCTTTGAGCAGTCAGGTCTGCCTGTGTCGCCCAGTTTCCATGGCCAGGCTGTGGTCACTGAGCCTGTACTTCGTCAGGATCTGTTTCTTTTTGCTGTTTCTTATCTTGATCAAATATTAGGCTAGTGTGTATTGTCTGCTTAGGATTCTGTAGCATTCCAGTTTATGTTGTATTTGTGTGTGTCCCAGTGTGTGAGATATTGCTGTTTGATCTGTGCTGTGATGTGCTTGGGTCTGAGTTGTGGTGCTCTAGCAGTGCTCTCCTGTGGCTGGCTGGTGTCCGTGTGTCTTGGGTCAGTGAGCTTCAGGGCCAGCTGGCTCAGTGGGCTCTATTTTGGGCTCAGCTCTTGGCTCACCAGGGCTTTGTGGTGGTAGGAATTTTGGTCACTGTTTTTTAGGTGCATCCAATACGTTAATACTCTTTTCTGTATGTTTATCAATAGTGGGTACTGGTCTAATTCGGCCCTGCACCCGTTGTTAGGTGTTTTTCTCTGCACACGGAGGATGTTTCTACATATCTCCATGTGCAGCGTTTCTGTGGGTTGTTTGTCCCATTGAGTTTAATTCTGGTCTGTGAGGAAATATTATGCGAAAGCCAGGGGGCGCCAGGCCGTTACTGGAGGGTGGTTCATGGCCGCAGCTGTGCCTATGACGACACGACTGAACTTCCCCTTACGCAGCAAAACTTCACTGTAGGCGGAGAGGCCGCTTCAGGGAGAGCAAATCAGGTGGAAGCTGAGCAGGAAAGCTGAAGATGGCGGCTGAGAGAGGAATAGTGGGCAATATCGGATGCCTCTTTAGTTACGATTACAACAATTGCTGTGAAAGAAAGGTGGAGTTGTTCGGGTATGGGAATGCGACACATCACTGACTCGGGGGTCTGACTGCGTATGGTACCGAGACTTGGGATTGTTTATTAGCTTGAATGAACGATTTTTCACAGGGGCGAAAAGCTCCCAGCCTTCATGTCTTGGTTTTCTAGTGCGGCTGGACTGGAAACAACGCACAAGAGGGAGCGCAAACTGTTAATGTGTCGCTGGGACGAATTCCATTTGTCGGAGCCGGGAAATTAAAGGCATTAACTTCATCCACCGGACTGTCGAGTGGGAATTAATTCCTAATCATGTATTTTTTAACTGGCTGGCCCCGGAGGCTGCTCTGCCCTCTCAGAAGTGAGGAAGAGCCTTTTCACATCCAGCCGAGTTCCCAAAGGTTTTACTTCTCTGTGCTTTCACAGACTCAACTAAGCATCTGGTTCAGTCGGGTGAGTGTCTCTCTGCAGTGTGGAAGCGAAATCTGGATTCAGCCAAAAATGTCTGTGTGACAGATGTATGAATCCCCGGATTTTCTCACCAAAGCTGTGATGCGTGGCTTCAGTGTTGTGTACTTTGCCGCGTCACTGACTTCAGTTGTGTTTGCGGTTTGTATTAAGATATATTGTGTATCAGCTTAATATTTGATACATTGAAGATGTGACAATTTTCAGGTATCGTATCCCTAGATGTGCTCCCAGTTCAGTTGGTTTTACAGATCACCATTAAATAATTAATTTGCTTAACTAATCCGATTTAAATGAAGAAACATATAAATTAATTGGGCCCAAAATATAAGTAGCCTTCCTACCTCGACTAACTTAGTTGGCCTTATTGGTCACAGAAGTTACAGTTTCCGAGTCCCAAATCTGTCGAAACTGGCAACCTAAGACTTAGTAACTGGATTGCGGCGCTCCAGATCTGGGTTGGAGACACCTGGTGCCGAGTAATCGCAGAAAAAACAGTGTTTTGCTTAGTTGCGTTGAAGTGTCTTCGCTAGCTAGTAGTAAAGTGTGCTAATTTAAATTTCTGCTTTAGTTAGGAGCAACATTATCAGCTACCTATAAAGTTAATGAATGTAGGATGGTGCGAACTCTCGTTGATATACACGAATGTTTTTTTTTGCTCGTTTTAAGGTTTTTAATTTAGATTGCCTTGCATAACATATATAGTGTCATGATAACATCAATATTGGAATTAATGTTAAGGTCCTCTGATGTATTTGGATTATATTCGGTGTATTGTACTACAGGTTAGAGGAAGTGCCGGTAATGGGTAGTGCAGTCAACATTCCCGACCTAGAGTTCCCCAAAATAAATTCCGATCGACCGGAAACTGCTAAACCGCTTCTCTAGAAGCAGCTATAATTTGTCAACACATGTTCATTTACGGAATTCAAATTAATTTGTGGCAATTTCAGTCTTAAGTTTAAAATATAGTATTGCGTACAAAAGGATTTGCTCAAAACAGCTATTAGCTAGCACGTCCCTGAGAGACAATGGGGGATAAGTCAGTCTGTACATTGATTATTTTGTTACACTTAATTTTACACTTAACTGCATTCATGGAAAGAATAAAAAATATCAGATAAACTGAAATAATATGGATTTAACAGGGGCACAGTGGAGGAAGGGGGACAACTGGTTTCTTCGGGCTGTTTCATCCTTTGTTTGCTTGTCTACAGTTGAAACACCTGCCTTATAATTAGTGATATATCTAATTTTACATTCAGTATTAAAAACCCTTGTATCATTTTAGTACTAATGTTTGCAAGGGGTTACTGGCTTTCTTGTGTTCCATTGGGTTCTTATTGTGTGAATTAAATGCACAATGCAGTTTATTAATGAGTTGGTACTATATTAAATGAGATCATAAGTTAAAAATGAGAGGAGGCCATTTGGACTTTCTGGCCTGTTAGGCAGTTAATACTGATCCAAGGATCTGATTTAGTCATTTCTTGAAAGAAGCCAGACTATTAACTTAGCTAACATAGCTTGTTCCATACTCCCATAACTGTCTGGATAAAATAGTACCACTTATTCTTAGTTTTAAATTCACTTCCACAATGTGGTATAGTTATCTCTCAAATCCAAGCAGGTGTCTGAAACAATTCGAAAGTATAAATCAGTCCATTTTCTAACTGCTGTCCATCGCAGGCCAGACAGACACAAATGCAAACGTATACACACTTACATCAGGGCCAGTTTTCCCAGAAATCAGTTAACCTTCCAGTGTGTCTTTGGACTGTGAGAGGATTCCAGAGCACCTGGAAGAAACCCACACAAATACACAATCTAAGAACAGACAAGCTGCACACAGATAGCACCCCTGTAACTGAACCCAGGGCCTCAGTGCTGCAATGATATCCACTGCGCCACTGTGCCTCCCGAACAAGGTTTACTAATTCCAATTTTTGCTAAGCAAGAAGGCCTAGATAGCGAGGCAATTTTTGTCTAGGCAGACTGTCACTTCTCTAGGGCTCCAGTTAGAAACCTTTATTCTCCCCAATAACTGACCTGAGAATAAAGTAGCCTATGCTGTTTGTGGACTGAGTTTCCAATACCTTGCCAGCCTGTGGGGTTTACACCATAGTTCAGTGTGAGGGAATAAATTAATCTGTATCCTCTTGTAAGGTTTGTATGAACCAGGCAGAACCTAGCAGAAGCATTTAGTTTCTCTGGACATCTGAAATCCTCATTGTACAGCATCCTTGACATGTCACCCTAGCTGTTCATTCTTTGTTTTGTTTTTATAGAGGATTTTTGGCATTGTTTTAAAAAACACATGGCCTAGCAAAGAAATGTCAGTGAGTATATTTATAGCTTATTGGATTTTCTAGGATTATTAGGTGTGCGTGAGAGGACAATGTCCGGAGTTCACAACTGAACTCCAAATGTGACCCTTGTTAGTTTGCTATTACTATGTTTAAAGCTTGTGCCTTACAAAATACGTCAGACACATAGTATTAATGAAAACTAAACATTTATTTAGTAAGCTTTCTAAACAGGCTTTTGAATCAGAATCTCTTTGATCATTTAAGAAACTATACAGTCTCTTATCTGTAACCTTTCTTAAGTTCCTTATACTTTCTAAACTTAATAGCTGTGCAAAGGTTTGTTACATTGCTTTTGAGAAATGAATGATTTTCTCTTGTCCATCCTCTAGTTCACTGCTCTGATATTTTGTTTCCTGTGTCCATCATGCCTTGTGACTTTCTATTGCTTTGACAGATATCCTGTAACACCTCACCAGGAAGACAAAACACTGTCTTGGATGATTCATATGTCCTTTAAAACTACAATGGCCATTTGAGCATGTGGTACAAAAATGTACAAACTATCATCTGATTATATTTTTCTAGTCAAAAGAAGGTGACGGGTAATACATTTCACCATGCAAACCATCACAACTTCCTTGCCCTCTTTATGCTGGAAATACCAGATTTCTTTTTCATCTTAATGAATAGATATTGAGGTTATTTGAACACTCTCCTGTGTTATGGACACTTACTTCCCTGCGATCAGAATACAGTAAGCTGAAAAGATCAAGGTGATTTCTTGACCAGACTGACCAGAACGTAGGAAAAGCTACATGTTAAGCGATTGATAATTTGAGTATGTCATACTTTTAAACTGTTGTGACTCATCATTTTCAGCACTTCTGAAGTGTCAAGATAAGTTGATTTTGGCGACCTAAAGTTGTTGAGATTTGTATTTCTAAATTATTGCTATTTTTGATGTTCATTATTTATAGAAGTTTACCCAATAATATTCAAAATAAAGAAATCACTTATCTAGTTAAATAAAATATTGAAATAAAATGAAATCTAAGTAGAAAACAATAAAGCTAATGACCTAAGGGTCATCCAGTGGGTAAGCCACTGGACCTTATGCAATCAAGATGCAAATATTCCACCACCTGTGTCTAATCTTTCCTAATGTTCTTAGTTGATATGTCATAGTTTCCAATGTCATAAAGCCTTAAGGGCAGTATGACACCTCAGATTATGTTCCTAGAGGGTTCAAGTGTCCTCTGAATTTGGTTCAGAGCTCGTTTACTTAATTAACCTAATTGTGTAATTTAACACTTCATGACTCTTCTCAGTTTACTTAACATCAAGCAGATGCATCCTTTATGTGAGGAATGTGCAACTTCAGTCCTGTCATCATTCCAGCCTTTGTTGTAATTCCTTCATTGAGCTAAGTATTTGACTATCTAAACATTTGGATAGTCAAACACCCTTGTGTTTTTAGGCCTTGATTTATTTCTTTTTGAAGTATTTGTAGATTATGAGGAGGCATTTGAATCTCACTTCTTAGGTTTAAACATCAGCTGTCATGTCATGCTGTACAGCAATCCTTGAAAATCCAGAATCGGCATGTATAGTTCTGCAAATAATTAGAGCAGTTAATTTGGAAATATAAGTCCTCCTTGAGAAGTGCTGCTTCACAGCACTCCAGTACTGTGTTTTTGAGGTTTAATTATGGCATTTTATGATTCTTAAACCTGAACTCCTGCTCTGCAGCAGATATTTGTAAGTCTTCAACTGTAGGGCTCCATATTTTATCTTTGTTAGACATTGGATTTAATTCTCTTTTGTTCACAGTACTTTTTCACCTTTTATTCCTTATTCTTAGAATTTCTTTGACCAAGACATATATATATATATATGTTTTCCCTCCTTGGATACCACATTATCTACAGCTCAAATATCTGCATTTATATCTAGAGAAGGATTCCATGTATGTTTATCATGTTGCCTTCCATTTTCAGAAAGAGAAACCTATTGTTGTGGCTAGTTGGCATTAATGCAGTGGGTTGTTAGGCTCATTCAACTCATTCACCCAGCTGCAGTTGGAAGAGGCTAAATCCTTTTTATAGGCATACACAGTTGTTGTGCATAATAATGTTAAGATTAATGTTCAGATTAATGGAAAAGTATGTGAAAACATAAAACACTGTTTCTTTACCCCTTTGTTATTTATACAATATGATATAGGAAACAGTAAAAATATTAAACTTGATGTCCACTACTCTGCGATAAAAGGTCCAAAACCAAAAAATACAGCATTAAAATGCTAATGACAATTTTTCCCTTCAAGAGCTACATTCCTACAGGACTTAAAGGTACCTAAAGTGGTGGAAACAGTGGTAATCAGGGCTGATTACAACAGTTATTGATTTAATTGACCGAGTCTGCATTTCCACTGGTTGCTTTTTGCATAGAAGTGGGTTGAGTGAGGGCTGAATCATTGCACCCAGAGACCCTGAGTGATTGTGAAGATCAACTATAACTACAGTGTAAATGCAAACTGACCTTGGGCTGGCTCACACAGCAGCAATGCCCCCTCCCCCAAGACAGAGGAAGACCCTCAACACAAAGAGAAGGCATTTTTGAAAAGAATGGATATTGAACTGTTATTATTTGATTATTTGAGTACTTCAGGCTTTT